AAGGAATGGAATCATGTCATTCACCTTTTTTCTCTATGACAAGGTAATTGTAATCATCACGAATTCAGATCTATATTAACTATTTGGTGTTGATGTCGTTAATTGGGGCGAATGATTTTCAGAAAATCCACCAACCTTTTCCCGTCTAAGGGCTGACCCCGAGATCTCCATTCTTTTTCGCTTTTCATTTCAATGAACATATGTGATGTTCGAAATCGCCTACGAAGTTGTATGCCTCGAGTGGAATCTCGGCAAAGGCTACGAAGCCTACGACTACGAAGTCGATCTAAAACAACTAGGATTTCGGTCATTTTTTTGGGAAAAAAATACTCTAAATTCCAAAAATTGTATTTTTTTTTTTTTTGGTACAGAGAAAGAGGCCTAGTGCTCAGTCTAGGACTTGTCGGGGGAGGGACCCCCCCATACTATCATTCTCGAGCCAAATCTGCAAGCCAGTAGGTGGAGCGGGTAACATGTGAACCCCGATCGGGTACGTAGCCGCATGTCGAGCTATGAACCCCGATTGAGGCCAGTGTTTATGACACACGCATGGTAAGGTGGACGGCCCCAGTGGCGGGATGGGTGAAAGTTAACGTCGACGGCTCGGTCACTCGTACTACAAGCTTGAGTAGCGCCGGGAGACTGATACGTGACGAGACAGGTTGTTGGATAGTGGGGTTTGCTATGAACATAGGGACGAGCACGGTTCTTGAGGCCGAGCTTTGGGGAGTGATCCAGGGGTTAAAGCTAGCTTGGGACCGGGGCTTCCGACTAGTTGAGCTAGAAGTCGACAATTTGAGTGTTACGAACTTGATCTCTCGCTTGGATGGAGAAGTCAGCTTTCATCGTCAAATGGTGCAGGTCATCCGTGACCTTCTTGCTCGAGCATAGGTAGTAAAGATCCAGCATGTGTATCGTGAAAAATTGTATTTTTTAGTACAAAGCTTTTTGTCAACTATATTTTTTAATATTTGCAGCTTAAATACAAATTGTAAAAAATTCCCCCAGTGAAATGAGTTATCGATATGACATACTGTATTTCTATTAATTCAATTCTCATCTTATTTTCCTTGTGTTTATTTTCTCATAATTATTTGGCACATATTTTCTGAATAATGGTGACGATATAATGAATTCTTTTGTGTTATTCCTAACACAAATCCCACTATAGTTGTTGTTTTATAGAATATTCTTGGACGTTGTGTTAGTGACCAATGTGTTACTTGCAAACAATCATGATTTCATTTTGTAGTTTTTTGAGCAGGGACAACGTAGGGACTCTTACAGCTACGTGATATGTTATTTTTTTCGAAGGATATATATTAGTTCTCTATTTGATGTTTATGATATATGTATATTCTGTTGTGTTACAGAATTTGTTGATTTATGATGGAAGTGAACTTAATCCCAATAATTATTAGCCTGAGATGAGGTTAAAAGAATGATACCGCATAGATTTTCTGGACGTTGGGAGCCTATTACAAACCAAGCTGAGGTATTCTTGCTCACGCCAGATTCAAAATTACAAAGTCGTATTTTGAAGTTGGCATTGTTATTATGTAAAGTGAATTACTTATTGTGAGCTTAGGAATCATTTTACGTCATAAATTTTAAAATTGTTTCACTTGTTGCTATTGAAATAATGGTGTCATGCAAACCGTGAAAAACATGGCACCCTTTCATCTTTCCACTTCAATTTATATAATGAGATAAAGTGTTTAATTATAAAATTGTTTCACTTGTTGCTATTGAAATAATGGTGTCATGCAAACCGTGAAAAACATGGCACCCTTTCATCTTTCCACTTCAATTTATATAATGAGATAAAGTGTTTAATTATTTGGAATAGTGAATTAAAAAAAAAAAAACTATTCACTTTATTGTATGGTTTAATAGAAATAATGTCAATGTCAAGATTTTTTATATAACTTAAGATACATTTGACAATTATATGAAACTCCCTGGCATTTGCTGCAATACCCTTCGAGGATATTTGGTAACACAAAACTTCTCGACCGGCTGGAACGTGAATAATCGCCTTCCTTCTCACCGGTTGGACGTCGTGCACCTACAAAGAACTCTCACACCGGAGGGGTTTTCCGGTGAAGAGCCTCCGAAGCTTAAGTCAGTGTATGTTCAATCAATTCTCAAGAGTAAGTAGTAGAATGATCGTGTTGAATAAGAAAGGCTCACCCCCTTTATACAGGGGTGAGATACCTGACCTAGGGCTACCCGGATTTGATGAGCTGTCTGCCCTAACTGCCCGCCCGTACACACCAAACGCGTGTGTCAGAGGTAGCCGTCGCCACTATCGCCTGTACCAATCCTCTTTGGACGCGTGTCCTCCTGCACATGGGGTAGGCTGTCAGAGGTGGTTATCGCTATCCACCACTGCCTTCTCGACACGTGTCCCCCTGCACATGGGGTAAATATTCTTCTGGAATTCTGTCAGAGGCTCCTTCACGCGCCTATGACTAGGCCGAACAACATGGTGTTAAGTCCTCGAAGTAATCGGCCTGTTGAGGTCGAATAAGTTGCTCGATCGTGTATCTGGTCGAAGGATAATTTGGTCGACAGCTTTACTTGGTCGACTGGTTAACTGCTCGATTTCCTTGACTTCCTCATAATACGACCTTCTCGACCGGTCAATAGATCGGTTCAGCCTTGTGGGTATAATATCCCATATCATCTAGTCCCCCCCACTATGGTCGAGTCTAAATGACTCGATCTAAGAGTGAATTAGTATTTATCGTCCTTCTGGATGGCTCGTCGTTAGATATCGACCGGCTGGGAAGCTTCCCGCTTATTTTTTTCGAATAATTTCCCATTAATCACTAGAAATAAAGTTATCTGCTTTAAGTCCTTTCTGTCGCACCCGTTTTCTGCCACGCGTCACGTCTGTCATATGTGTCAGACGCTTTAATTATTGCGCCTCCTCGCCTAACGCGTCCGTTTTGAGCTCCGTGCAAATTAATACTCCCCACCGTTGGATCTAATTTTAATCCGACGGCCCTTATCTTTCCACCCTTCAATCTCCAAAGTATAAATTCCATACTTAGCATATTTTCCAACTTTTTTCCACCCTCACAGTTTCTGAATTATTCTGCACCCAGAATTCTCTCTGCAAAAAACCCTTGTTTTCTCAGCGATTTCTCCTGCGCTCCTTCAAACTTCCATCAATTATCGACCCACGGTTATGAGTAAGTCTCTTCACGCTTGAATTTGTATTCTTTGTAGTTCTATTTTGTGTATTCTTGAATTTCAATATCGGGTGCTCTTAATCTGCCTGCTGAATTGTTTCAAATTGACTTGTCTTGTGTTGAATTTGTGCTTGGAATACTCTTGCTTGTCTACTGAATGTTGAGGATTTTACTTCTCCTTTGAAAATTTTTGAAATTTCCGCCCCTATGCCTCCCGAATTCTTCTTTTGGTTTTTGGATTGCTCTCTCCTAAAACCCTAATCTTTCTTCTCCTCTCTTTCTTCCTTGCGGCGGCTTCTTTTTGATATTATTCTCTTTGTCTTTGTTTTGATTTTCTTTTCAGACTCTGAGACCTCCTCTGATTCAGTTGAAATACTACCCTCTGCACTCGAAGTTGTCCCTCTCTCTATCCTTCGCCCCGGCGAGACAGTCCCTACTCGTGTTTTTACGGCCTGCATCGCTTCTTCAAACTCCGGGGATACCATGGATAACGTTCCTCTCCGCCATCGTCGACCTCCTCTTGGCGCGTTAGACGAGCCAGAGGAGGACGAGGTTATTTCTCCGCAGCCCACTGCTCCTCCTTCTTCGAGTTCTCCGCCCAAACGATCTTCGACCAAAAAACTTTCCAAGCGCTCTTCTTCTACTTCTCTTCCTCACCCTTGGTTCAACCCTGGCAAAATCGGCCAACCTCTTGGTTGGGCGTTCCTCAGATCCTCTCACTCTGATAAATTCGACCATCCTCCACAGGATTGTTACACTTTCTTCGAAATCCAGTTTAAGCTTGGTCTTCGTTTCCCTCTAAGTCCTGATCTTCTTCAGATCTGCGAGTGGTTCGGGCTTCCTCTTCATCAACTTCCCCCTAACACTATTCGCTTCATGACCACTTTCGTCATTCTTTGCCATGTCTGCCTTGGTCGATTCGATCTTGCCTTCTTCCATTACTGTTATGTCCCTTCCAAACAAGGTCGAGGCCTGTACTTAAAGAGTCGTAATGGTGTTCATTTCATCAACGACGTCCCCTCCAATCTTCCTAAATGGATCGATCGATTTATTTTTGTCCGTCCTGCTGAGCCTTTCTCTTGGCCTTCCATCCCTTGGGTCAAGGAGGTTCCTCAGGAAGTTTCTGCCCCTCCTTTGAACCACTTTTTCGAGCAACGGGTCCATACGTGGAATTCTAAGACCGTTGCATCAGAAACGCTCCTCAAAGACGAGAACCTTCTTTACCATTGTGGTCTTCTCACCCACAAGACTTGTCCTCCTCCCACCAACGAGATCTTCGATCTCATTCGACTTGAAGATGATCCAGGTAGTAATCGAGCAGATTAGCTGAATGTTCGTGCGTTTCCTCATTTTTATTCCGAGTGATTTTTACTGACCTCGAATATGATCTATATTGTGATTTTTTTGCAGAGGTGCCCAGTTTCAACATCCCTCCGAGGAAAACTCCTCTGAGAAAGAAATCGGGGGCTGTCGCTGGGTCGAGCGGCGACAAGGCCGATGGGTCGGCTAGCTCTGGTGGATCTCGAACAGAGCCGCCACAGCAATCGCCCCCGCGGCAGACTCCGCCGCCTCCTCCACCACCGCCCAAGGAGACACAACAGTGACCAGAGCAGCAGCCTCAACAGCCGTAACAACAGCAACAACAACGTCCACTACAACCTCAGCCGCCGAAGCAGCCAGGGCAAACTTCCCAGAACCCTCAGCAAAAATCCATTTCTTCTTCAGCCGCCAAATCTTCGACCTCATCCAAGGTCGATGATCGTCAGAAGGTTGCCGACCGCCAACACAAATCTGACGACCGTCAAAATACCACTGATCGTCAACACCAGGTCGATGATCGCTTGCAAAGAACTGACGACCGCCAAAGGATCGACAGCCGTCAGAAAACCGATCGTCGAGCTCCCAATCCCAAAGACTCCGCTTCTTCCAAAATCATGGACAAATCTCCCGAGCCCCACTCCTCATCCAAGACCCAAGCTTTAGAAAAGCCTCCTCTCGACAAACAATCCCTCAAGACCCAATCTGCTGGCTCGACCAAGGCACTGGTCGAGTCCAGCAGTAAAGTTGATACCGGGCGCGAGACAGTGCTAGGTAAACGGTCTCGCACCGATCAATGTACGGTCGTCTGGAAGCGGGGGCGCGACAGTTATCTTCCTCCTGACCCCCTTGCCCCGAAGCCGACGTCCTTGATGTCGGCGTCCGCGAATGAGGTGGCCGAGCGCCTCGAGGGTGTTCTCTTCGAGGACGATCGCAAAAAGCTTGGCCCCACACTGCCTGAGTTTGGGGATCAATTCGTTTAGTGGATTGCCCAGATATTGTTTTCCTCGCGTTTTCCTGTCTCCTTTCCTATGCTTCACCTGTTACACAAGCTTTGAACTGTGCCCTCTTCACTGATTACAGGGCTTGGTGAAATTCTTGCCCACAGTGCAAGAGGCTCGCGACAGCTCCGGGAAGTCCCTGAAAAGCCTCGAGAGCACAATTAAGTTCTTGCAGGATAAGAACTCGACTCTCGTAAAGCATAATTCCCAGCTCCGCGAGACCCAAGTGGAGCAGAAGACTGAGTTCGACGTCAAGCTTCGATCCCTTGATGAAAAGCTCAACAATAAAAGCAAGGCTCTCACGGAAAGAGACGCTGCCCTCGCAGCTAAGGAGGCGGCAGTAGCAGAAAAGGAAGCTGCGTTGAAAGAGAGG